TGAAAGAGGAGAGAGAACGTGCCGCCACGTTGGAAAAAGATCTGGTCAGGATGAAGAGGGAAAATGACGAATTAAAAGATCAAAACGCGAAACTTGGAACAGAATTAAACGATTGCCAGGAGGAGAACAATAGGTTGCTTAAAGAATTGGAGAAATTGAAATCGGATAATGTGAAATTGCAAGACAACTTGATTAACGCGAAAAGCGAAGCGGATAGATTGAAAGAAGAGTTGGACAAGTTGAAAAAAGATTATTCCAAATTGCGGGCCGATTTATCCAAGGCGAGAGAAGACAGGGACCTAAGAGAGGTGGACAAAGAGAATGCCGAGTTGAAGGCTATAAATGCAAAATTGAAAAGCGATTTATACGATTGCCAGAGAGAGAACGAAAAATTGAGCAAGCAAGTGGCTAAATTAAAAGCGGAAAATGAGAAATTGAAAAGAACTTTAGGTACGATAATTATAATTAACAGTAATGTTTCAATTGTTCGAACTTTCGATGCTGCAAATTTGGTAGTGATAAAAAGATAAACTATCTTTGCAAATTCGAGCAGAGATATGCAATATTAGTAAAAAAGGATAAGGATTTTTATTAATTTCGTGTATTTTTTCTTCTTTTTATATTGATATTGTATTTAATAATGTTATTTAGAAATGAACAAGATCACTCGACAAATTTGGTTTTATCAATATTTAGAAAAATTTACAAAATATGTTCAATATGAAAAAATTATTTTCTAGGAATTATTCATTCTATATATATATATATATAATATGTGTGTGTGTGTGTGTACAGACAAAGATTTGGATCAAAAAGAAATGGAAATTGACGAAAAGATTCTGTATGATTGCAGCGAATACATTAAAGCAAATAAAATACTGCAGAAGAATTTTGAAAATCAGCTAAAAGGTATAAAGAATAGAATAAAGTTCTCTTTTCTAGAATATGCATATGTATAAGAAATTATTTTTATTTTTATTATTATTATTATTATAAATATATATATTATTTTTATTATTATTTTCGCTTTATTGCTTCTTCATTACTATTATTAATTGATATTATTTACAATTTTTAATCGTTAACAATATCCGAATCTTAATACTATAGATTCGAAAAAATATTTAAATGCAGCATCTATTGTACATACTATTATATTTCTTTTTTTTTTTTATAGAATTCGTTTTATACAGTTTTTTTTTATATATATAAGTTAAAGTATATATTCCAGATTTTATTAATTTGAATGAAAACAAAATCTTTGTTTTAAAATTTTTAAAGCATCTTTTAAATAGCGTTACTACAGCGACACTATTTAAAATTTCTTCATTTTAAATATTTATAAATATCTATTTTTATCTATCTTTTAATATATATTTTTATTAGACCACATTACGTACATATTATAAATAATTTTTTTTATTGAAAGATAAAAATAAAAGTTCATGTATAGTTCAAAGTTGAACAATTTTTATCTGTCATTGACTCGCATTAATCTATGTGTATATGCATATTATATGTACATACATAGTATATGCATTGTACATGGTAATAAGTTTGACGTAATATCATGCTAATTAATTTCAGATTAGAGTCGATCGATTAGAAAACGTATTTCTAACACGTATTATCTTCAAGTGCGTGTAAATATATCCGTGCTTTAATCGCAGTTTACAATATCTGGCTAAACGTATCAGCATATTACTAGCTTAATGTTACGAAGCTTATGATAAGACATTAAACGATCCTATGGTTCAAGCTAAAAGCGACAGATTATATAGGCGAATTACCGGATATACGAAAACTGAAAAAAACACATTGAACGTTGAATTTATTAAAATTAAACGTTGTATTGATTGGTCGACTAAGAATAATAAAAAACATGAGATTGTTATTCATATAATCGTGATAAAGATCAAAATAATAAATAATAAGGAATAAAAAATAATTTATTAAGTTTTTAATGAATTGAACGTTTTGAAAAACAAAGATTCTTAAATTTGAGAAGATATAATACAGAAATACAAATATTGTTTTCAAATATTTATTATTTTATTGTATTTCATCTTGAAGATTTATATACAACATATTTGATAATAATAGTTTTATTTTTTCATTAAGACATTTTTTCATCTTTGATTTCTTTTTTTAAACTGTAAAATAGGAAGTATGTTTCTTCGTTATTTAAAATAGGTGTACAACGTCTTCGAGACTACATCAATTATTTAGACGGTAAGGGTACGGAACCCAAAATGGCGGATAAATTGGAAGAAGAATCAGAGATAAATCCAAATACAAAAGACATTGAGGATTTGTTGAAGATGTCTCGAGATTTAAGTATCAATATTAATAAGGCGGAGCAAGAGATACAAAATCTTGCTAAATTATTAAAACCTGTGGTATGTACAATATTCATGATAAATCAAAAAGTATATCGTTACATTTTAAATAATTACTAATCATTTCGAAAGCAATACATAACCATATATAATTTATGAAATGATATTATTATTTAAATATTTAAATGTAATGTTAATATTTAATTATAAAAAAATATCTATTAAACTTATTCGTATATTATCAATATTTACAATATTAAAAAAATACGATATATTCAACATATAATTTAATTATTGTGATATATTCAGGAACTTGGTGCCTTCGATCCTGATGATTGGTTAAATGTAAGTGCAAGAATTATATTCATTAATCATCTATGAATCATAAATTCGTCTGAATGTCTTGTTTATCGCGTTCATCGTTTTTATCGTGTTTCATTTCAGTCGTTGACACTTACGCAATTGGCAGAACTTCATGACAAGATATGTGAATTGACATCAGACATGGTGCAACAGGATTCCAAAGCTGTTCCATGCGAAGCACCCCAACGATCAGAGAATTCGACGGATATTTTGAACAAACGTATAGCTGCTTTGCAGAAACAGATTGCGGAGAAACAAATGGAGGCAGGATGGAAGCTTCAGGGGCTGAAGAGAGCTCTTAGAAATGAGCAGGCTAATTTAATTCGATTGTCCAATGAGATGAATTTGGAGAGACAACGCAATTTTAATCTTCAATCTAGGTTGGATAAATCTTGATGTAATTTTCTCTACAAACAATTAGGTTTTTCAAAATATTTCACGGATCAGTATAATGTATTTTTGATCTTTGTTATTTATCATCATATGTCGGTAAGTTTGTGTAAATATGAATTGTATATCTGTACTTCGTTCAATAACATATAATAATCATCGATGCAAGTATATGGTAAATGAAAAGTTGAGATTAAAATTTTTTCATACATAACTGCTTCAATTTTTCTACTTGTTTATATTTGTATATATTTAATAATAAATTTATAAATTCTCTGTGATTTATATCTATGAGAAATCACACACACGTTAATTAAAGGAGAAAAATTAGATCAAATGTTATGTTAGAAGATAAAAAATTCTACAACTGGACAATTAAGAAAGGATTCATAACAAACAATATTCCAAAAAGAACAGTGGAATCTGGAATACTTTGAAGAAAGATGCTTTTATCCAGAATTAATGATGAATTATAATTAAGAGATTATACATACCTACTTTTATTACGTTAAATTAAATTATAATCATTTATATACAGAACGAATCATACGTATATATAACATAATATATTTGAAATAAGAAATGATTATTAAGTGCCGAACATCTTTTGCTTCTTCTTCCTCCTTGTACGAAACAACACAATATTTTCGATATTTTCCAATCGTTCAAATCCATCCAGAATTTATCCAGAAAATATCGTTCTGAACGACCAAGCTGCTTCGCCATCGAATAAATTACTTCTATTCCAGTAATTTAATCGTGTCGCACTGGTTACATTCTAATTAATGAAGCATGGAGGAGGAGAAGGAGGAGGAGGAGGCGGCGAGAGGAACAGGAAGAAAAACCGTGGCCGGGGCCAATAACGAGCAACGTTCTGGAAAACAGTTACGGCTAATAACGGCCAATAGATTCGGCGTGGCTGCATTTGCTCGATTTCGCGCGCGACAACGCGATTTCCTGTTTCGTTTTGTGCCGCGGTGTTGTTCGATCGAGATTAATTCAATTGCATCGTGGACCGCATCCACTTCCACGACTTTATCAGGGAAACGGTCGATGCGGCTCGTGCGTGCACACCACGCCCGGATACCATTGGCAAAGAGTACGCATATAATTGAAATGCGCGGCTAGATCAAGTGGTAAATGAATTGACGAAATCCATTTAGCCGTATGCCCGCCCAATCGGAATTGGAATAAGCTCGTGAAGCGTCCATCCCTTGTAACGGTGTATTATCGAAGTAACGCTGCGTTGACATATTCCATCCTTTGGGAAATGAATTCGAAATGAGCACATTTTTCGTTTAGAAAGAAAGAAAATCTTGATCTTCCTTGATTAATATCGAGAGTATTATTCGACGTGTATATATTATTATAGAAAATGATGATACAAGTTCGTATTTTCGAAACTTTCTTCTCCATCGATTCTATCCTTTGGGGATGGATTTAATTCGCAATGAACACGATTCGTTTAGGGAACCGATTGGTCATAGATCGATATAAAAAAGTATCGTATACGTATGCGTTTTTGACTTTTATATTAATCTTTTTGAAGTAAAAATTGAAATTACTGAAATTTTTAACGATAATCTGTAACCACAAGAATTTATTACTCGATAGAAACTTTTTTTCTTTGTAAAATAATAAATTGTTTTAAATATTTTATATTTAGAATTTTAGAAAATTTAAAAAAAAAAGAAGAATTCTATAATAATGATTTTATATAAAATACTTAAAACAATTATGTCTTTATTTAGATGTGTGCTTCATGATTCGTTAACAATATATACATATATATATAATAATAAAAATAGTTATATAAAAACGAGATGTTTTAAAATGCTTGTTTATCGTGTCAGTTTCGTAATTATACGAGACAATGCTTTCTGATAAAATCACGAATCCGAACTCCTTATATTCTCAGCTTTTTTTCTACAAACTTAATAAATGAAAAAAAGCAGTGTTCAATGATAAATCGAATAGAGTACTTGTGTATCAGAATATAATACGTTTTGTTGTGTATCAAGATGTTCCTGTGGTTGCTAACAGTTTGTATGTTACAATGGTGCACGGTACAAGTAAATATAATTAATTAATTTTTTATTACAAATTTATTTATAGAAGTATTACATAAATTTCCTGTAGAATCCACATTACATTTTGTTAAAGAAAAGACGATAGGAATAAAAAAATATGATAATGAAATGTTACTATTTATATTGTTACTATTATTTATCAAAGACATCAATGATCATTACAATTATTTATATTATTTAAGAAGAGAGAAATACTTTTTATAAGATACTTTTTTATAAGAAAACTTCTATTTATGTTTACGTATTATTGTTTTAATAAAAAAGTTTTTTAATCTTCAATAAGAAAAATAATTTTTATTATTGATGATTAAAGGCAAGTTACGAGGTAGTGTTCGAAGATGCTGAATGTTTCGATATAAACAAAAAATATATAAAGGAATGTGAAATAAATGTAGACTACGATAGTACATATGGATCCAAAATGGATGCATATCTGGAAATTCTTGAAATTCCTTATGATTCCATCAAAGTACGTATTGTTCGTAATATAATAAATAAAAATATTATCTCTTGAAAAAAAAATTGAATAAGAAAATAAGATTGATGAATCAAGTATACTGTAGCAAATTTTAATTTTATTCTATATCTAGATAAAAAGTTATTCGAATCTTTCATTTTTATCGTCACGTTCTTTTTCTTATAGTTGGAAATTGATACGTTCACCACTCAAATGGGTGAATATACACTTCCTATGGCAATTCACTTAGAAGATGATTTATGCGAATTTGCGAAAAAAAAAAATTCTCTAGGATATTTATTTATACAGTCAGTAAATATACAGACTTGTCCTCCGAAACCAGTATGTAAATATTTTAATTATTAAATAAAATATAAAATATATATAAAGTAAAGTATTAAAATTATAGTAGTATCACTATTAATTTTTAATCTCAATTTTTTTTCGAATTTATCGGTACAAATGAAAAATAACTTAAAATATGTAGAAGCACAAATATAAATATAATTATTTTAAATGAATAAAATAACTATAATATAATTATAATATAACTTAAATTAATATAGCTTAAATATATCTTAAATCTTAATAAACTATTATTACTTTATTATAATAATACTGTAATAAATACAAATTTTACATTATAAATATTTTAACAGAAATTAATTAACCATTATTTAAATGTATTATATTTCAGGGAATTTATGAACAAGAAAGATTTGTAATTGGCAATATGATGGATGCTTTACCGCCTTCATTTCCCGAAGGTCATTATTTATTAAATTCGACGTTATCATCTGAAGAAATCATATTATTCCGTCTTAATTTATATGTAAGAGTATATTAATTAATTATCAAAAAAAACGTGTAATTGTACGAAAATATCAAAATAAATATTAATTTTTGACAGCACATTAATTAATATTACATTAATTAATATATATATTAATTAATATATATATTAATTAATAAATAATATATTTCAAATGTTCTTATTATCTTTATAATGTATACAAAGATTTCATAGCATATTTGGCAAAAAATGTCTCAGTAAAGTTAACGATAGGTGTGCCAGTACATTTAATTATATACTTGCGTGCTTGTAACGTATACTCAATAGAATTATCTCTCGCGATCAAGAGATTCTTTTTCAAGATTAAAATAATAACAATTCATATATAATGGCATTATTAAATGAGTCATTATATTAGCACAAGATAATGTGCTTATATAAGCAAATCCAACAGAAATTGAAGTTGTATCAATATTTCTTCATGAACTTTATATGAATATTTTTTAATTTTGTTAATTCAAGAATTATAGAAAAATGATTAAATAAATCTGCGTACTTAGGCACTCAAGATCATTGCCATTATGAATATAAAAAATATGATAATAGAATATTTAATCATCCAATTTTGCAATAGATATCAATGAACGTATTTCATGTGAAAGTTTCGACAAGTTAAAATGTATGTTTCTCGATTAATCAATCGCTTACGTAATTTCACTCTAATCTCACGATTATTTTATCAAGAAATGAGAAAAATTGGCAGAATGACAAAATTATTTGCACGCGGTGTAAACAAATATCGAATGAGCAATGTATGTATAAAATACGATATATGCATACGTAGTGAACATATTAACTCTTTCGTTATTTATACAAATATTACTATATGTACGTATAACGAGGAATAGCCTTTCAATTGTGTATATACATGACGTGTTGTCGGGTTGACATATATGAATAACATAATTAACAAACAATGCTTTGCTAGTATCCTACAAAGAGATTTAACAATACAGAAATTGAAAAAGCCTCATCTCATTGTGGAACATCTGATTCTGATAAATTTGATAAAAACGTTAAGATATATAAAGAAGACTGCTACCAGACTATCTACTATCATTCAACAAAATTATTAATGTATGAATTCATGGTTACACGAACTAAAGATGATGATCGCAAATACAATAGTTAAAGATTTGTTCGAGTTTCTTGATTGTCGTTGATGGTTGAATACAATTTAATCTGGACAAAGTGTGATAGTGTTTATAATAATGGTCGTTTTACATCCATTCTCTGAGTACGGTTACTCCATTATGGAGGGATTTCAGGCACTCATACGAAGCAAAGCTCCGGATGTACTGTGGATCCACTGCATAATTCATGGAGTTCAGGTCTTGCATCAATGTATCTGGGCTCTTCGGCGAGAATCTGGTCCAGGTACAAGTAGTGAATTTTTAAAATACAAAATTTATAGAAACTCGGTTACCGAAGACAGGACTTTTCGAAGTACTATTCGAGGAGATATGTGTGGAACGAACACGTAACTTTGTTCTACTAGTGTAATCTACCTTGGTTGTCACATGACAATGTACCATGCCGTGAATTACAAATTACGATATAGGAACTTTACACCTATCAAGAGGTGGAGGAACTTGGAATATCGGATATTAAATTTTTAACACATGTACGCATTTTCATAATTATCATATCTGTATGATTTGTTTCAAGAAATTGAATACTTTGAATGTTCTGTTTTGACAACTTTGAAAATGTTAAAAAAAAGATTTAACTCAGTTCAGATAAAAAAGAAGAAAAGTGAAAACATTTTTGGAAAGAAAATATTAAGAAATTTTCACTCAAAGGTTTCATATTTCTTTTCGTTAAAAAAAAGAAAATACTATTAAGATATTTTGCAATGATATAGTGAAAAAAGAAGGTTTGATAATCTAAAACTAGTTACTACTTAGTAAAACGATGAATAATTATTGCAAAATATTAAATAACATACAATGATATTAATATTCAATGTATGAGTGAAGAGATTTTTATATACGTTGTTGTTTAACTTACATTCAATTGCAAATGTATCATCAATTTCTGTTTAATTAACCTCGTGAACTTTTAGATACGCAATCGTACGTTAAACTAGTTCAAACCGATTCATCTTGTGTTGTTAAACACGTTGATACTGTAATTTATCTTAGAATGAAAGTTTATTTCTTATTCAATGATTATTGTGATTTGCCAATTACATTACGTGAGGGGATCTCTGTCTTTAGTGCAGATATTTTTACAAGAATTGTTTCAACATTTGATAAACATTTAATTTTTAAAATATTTTATCATGCAAAGAAAAGATGGTTTTTATTTTTGAATTAATAAGAATGATAAAGAAAAATTCTGCAATAAAAAGAATTATTATCCTTAATATTTTGATATAATAATTTTTTGATATAAATATTATAATGTAATAATTTTTTCTCAAAAAGAGGTCATCAGAACGTATCTGATATTGCATATCAAACTTTTCAAACCAGTTAATACAACTTGAATAGTATTTTTCCGTTACTGATTATTTTTATCAATCTTTGATACGTAACGCCCCTCACATTTTTGCACTATAATGTTATCAATGTTTACAAATAGTATCAATATGCGTATTCTCTTCTATAGAATACTTTAATCATGTCTCATTAAAAGAAAAATTCAATTTCCGGTACTAATAGCATACATAGCGAAAATATGAAGAAAAGGAGAAAAATATCATACATATGTCCAATATACTTTTTATATTTTCTACAATTAATCAATATATACTTTCCAAATTTGAACGTTTTTATTTTTACATTCCAGTTGAAAAAAAAAAATGTTTTAACACAATATTAACAATTTAAAATTTTCTAAAAACGAAATTTAATATCTAAATAATATCTTTACGATCCTATAAGCTGGAAATATCTTTTTAAAAAATTATTGGTATGTTTAATATTTTAGACTTATTTAAATTTTAAATCTTTTATGCTGTTTTATGATGCTATAAAAGTATCATCCAAATATCCATTATAACTATATATCAATCCAAAAAATATAAGTTCATTAATTTTTAATAAAGTGCACATTTTAGGATTGGAATGTTAAATTATAGAATGGAATGTTAAATCATTTATTAAATATCAATTTAGTGTTGCGTTTGAAATGAATGCAGCGAATGTCGCATAAGTTGGTTGTTAAATATACTTTACGTCTAGTGTATATCATGATAAATACAATATACTCCCTAAACATCCAACGTATACGTTTTATCCGCACTAAAAACTTATTTATTTCGTGCAATTGCAGACGATTCGATAAAATATTATTTACAGGGATAACGGATATAATCTGTGCCAAAGTAGCATGGTTTACGCGCAATAAATGATACTTTATCACAAGTGCGCGCAATTGGTTGAAATAAATTCTGTAAAATATTTTCCACTTGTTATACGAAACAGTATTTTATCGAAATAGGGAATTTGCATTGAAAGATAAAGTGGTTCCTTTTGCATTCGTGAAATTTTGCCAGTGTTATCGAATGTACAGCGTACAATCATAATAATTTTTATACATACTTTGTATTATTGTTTATAATAATAATAATAAAATACAAATAACAAATTCATAAAGCGATTAACCATTAACAAGTCTAAACACAAAATTAACAAATATATATCATTCTCACCGATCATCATTGTATTGTAATACAATTTACACATATTATAAAAAAGAATAAAAAAAATAAATAAATTATATAATACTATGTATAACTATTAATATACCATATTATAATGATACAATTCGTAATAATTATTCAGAAAAAAAGTTATATTATCCAAAAGTAGCTATCATTTACATCAAGAATATTTTGTTTATTTTACAAATTGAAAATTTCCCATACACAATCCTTGTCCGCGATTACTCTTAGATGAACCATTGACGAAATTTCGCCCGCGTTTTTTTACCCTTCCCCTTTTGTTTTTTTGTTCCACGCACGTACCAACAATGGGGACGAATTAAATGACAATGCATATTAATTAACCCCCCGAAACGGGAGAGGACAATCTACGATAACGATCTCGGTGGGAAGTCAGCCATGGCGGGCCAGGACAACAAGGGGCAATTAGAGAAAATCAATGTTGCACAACACGTTTGCATGTTGCATTTAATAACGGTGCTTGAGTGGAACTCGATTCGCCCTTTGATGGCATAACGAACCACCATCGCGCGCCACCGCGCTTTTTCCGCTCTAAACTGCTCCGTTTCAACGGAGAAGGAAGACGTAACAACATGAAGCGCGTTGCTCGCCACCGGATTACTTACCCTTTATTCCTTTTATACCTCTTCGCTCTTCTCTCTTTTCCAACCTTTTTCTTTTTTCTTTTTTTTTTTTTCCCTCCTTTCATTCTTATTTCCTCAGTCGAACCTGGCTAATTAAATGAATGCTGCGTCGCGAAGCGTATCGATTTACGTTATGTTACGCAGGGTTGGTCATTAAAAGGGAGCGCGAGGTGTTTCTTTCTTTTTCCTTTATTGCGCGGCAAAAGGGTGATAAAAGTTTGATACTCGACTTTGAATCAAATATCCCTTACACGCGTTTTTTATTTATCTCTTAAATATACATCGATCTGTTGTGATTACATATTGAGGGAGTTTTTATGGAATGAGGATAAGAGTTTGTGAATTGGGTAGAAAAGGATGATGTTGAGCGATCAATGTGTTATTATTTTATTTTATACAATATTTTTAGTTTTAAATGAGATCAGATAAGAGATTTGTGGACGATTGCATAATATGAAAGTAAATTGACGGTGGATTAAGTATGAATTTGTATCATTAATTTGAGAAATTGATTTTACGAATTTTATATTTCATCCCGTGAAAATATTTACTCTTGTTAATTATTTCTATCTTATCAAAGAATGTTAAATATATCCATGTAAGAAAATTAATTTTTCATATTATTTAGCTTTAAAATTATGCTCTGCAATAATCTTTGTATTTTATTAATTAATTTGTTTCAAAATTTGAAATTTTTTGCATAGAATAATTGTAGATAAGAATACGAGAGAAATAGAATTACACTAAGTAATTTATAATTTATGCTTTGTAAACTAATAGTTCTAAATTAAAAATTTTTAATTTATTCTAGAATATAATAATGTTAATTTAATTAAATAAAATCTTACAAACAAAAAATTTAAGTATCAAAGATATCAGAGAAATTAACTAAGTAGTATATAAATTATGAAATTATTATCCAATAAAATTTAAAAGAGATTTAAAAGTTCCAAAAAATATACATCAATTTCGACTTCTAATAATATCATTATTAATATTATTTTATTTATTTATTAATTTCCTAATATAATATCATCTAGTATTTTCAATTCTAGCTCCTCTTTAAATGTATGGTATGTGCTTTTCTATTAAATCTCTCACTTAATATTGTATTCAGATATCAAACACTACTTACACTAATGAAATCACATACATTGTGCAACATTTGATGAAATATATTTTAAAATAAAGTCATAATAAAATAATGTGTACACTATGTCTCCAATGAAATATAAGAAAAAATATATAAAGAAACACGATAAAAGTTTTTTTTCTCTTGTATCTATATTCAATAAACAGCGGAAATATTTTAATTTGCATATTATTCCACCACTGTATGTTTTTAACATACAAGCTCATTATGTACAAAACAAATTAGATATATCTCTAAATTCCATATTCAAAACAAATTAGATATATCTATATTACCAAATTGAAAGATAAATTTCATCAGTGTTACATAAACATAAAATAAACACGAAAAAACATGAAATAGAACAATAATATAAATTCTACTCAAGAATATTTTATTATCAAATATTTCGTTTTACAATTTTTCGAATATCGTTAATCGTCGTTAATTGCATTTACGTAATAATCGCATTACCAAATATTGATATAATTTTTTTTTTTTTAGCTTTCTTTATTTTTATTGTTTCTTATCTTTTTAAATGTAACTTTGCTCATTTTAAAAATTTCTATAACATTAATTTCTATTTTAAAATATATATATATATATATATGTAGAATTTAAAATAATTTATATTTTATATTTTATTAATTATACAAATTGTCCAGATAATTCTTACAATTTTATTTCTTTTGATAAAATAATGCATCTTGATATCGTGTACATAAATACATTAAGAAATTCGATATTTAATTATCAGTGAGATATTTCAAATTTCTTCTAAATGATATGATTGCATTTCAATTCTTTTTTTTTTTCATAAATATTAAATATTATAAATATTTATAAATAAAGTTTAACTTATTAACTTATTTTAATGTTACAATATTTGTAACATTAAATTTGTAAACAATAATTTCCTTTGCGACAAGATAAATATATCTCTCTTCTCTTCAAACAATAAAATGTTTACCAGACATCATGAATACATGATAAAGTCAAAAAACTCAAAATTTTTTAAGAAATATTTTTATTAAATATATAACATTTTTTATTTTTTTAGATATATTTCCTGAAACATATTTATTATCAATACAATAATCTTATAATATATCAATATAATATATTATAATTGATTATTTTAGATAATAATAAAATTTTATGAAGTTTTCTATAATTAATTCATAAATAAAATATATTAGTTTATTACTTTCAATGAAATTAATAATATAAATAATATAAATAAAATATTCTCAAATGCTTATTCTTATATTGTTCGATGTCAAATCATTTTTTCCCCCAATCTATGAAATTTTATGAAGACAATAGATATAATTCATGGTTCTGTAAATTCACTGATCTTTTCTACTAGATGACGCTTGTTGTAAGACGATACCTTCGAGAAGATCATTGATAAATTACATTGAATATTTTTATCAATTGTGATATTCATTTTTAACATATTTAGATCATTATATAATATTGAATTATACAGAAAAATATCATGTATTATGATATCACATTGAAATACGATTATAATTATTTTTCATCAACTTTGCATTTTATATTCGCTATCATCGATAAATATTCTAGAATATAGTGAATAACAAAATTTCCTCGTATTATTTCATTATTTTGTTAATTATAAAAAAATTCAAACAGAGGAATAGTACATTAAAATTTCATTTACATATCATATGTCATTTTTACTCTCGTTGAAAACATTGTAATAAATTCTTATATACTTTGACAAATGTTTAATCATATTTAATCATATAATATCAAAGTTTGAATTTTAATTCACATTGGAAATTTGGTAAAAAAGAAAAGGACAATATCACATTTAAAATAATTCCAAAATATTTCCTATAATAGCAGATCAATACAAAATCTAATAAAATTATCATAATTGTTTAACGTTTAATATTTTGCAATCTACATCACTCATTTAACAAAATCAAATCGGTTCATCGAGTTCGTTCAAAATTCACACACTACGATCGTCAGTTTTACTCGATGCTACACGTTATTAATACATTTCCTCCTTATCGATCAAAAACAATCTTTAATATTTTAGTAAAGTTCAACGAATATTCTCGAACGTATGAAATTCGTCGCGAGTCAAGGAAGCAGAAACGTGAAATTATTCAAGAGTCACCTATCAGAATCTCCATCGTAACCGAGTTTCTATATACCTTGCATCGTGGTGAACTGTCAAAGGACAGCTTCAAACAAATATCTAGTCAACTATCGCACGAGTATACATCTAAGCATTTCCCAAATGCATAATCTTCGACTATCTGCATTTCCTGAATATCTTTTTTTTTTTTTTCAACTCAAGTACTGGTTCTTGTTGAATATAAATGGTGTCGATTAAGAATCGGTTCCTCCGATCGGGGCGAAGAATTTGCAACAACTTTTTGCCGATAAGTGTTTCGATATTGGAAATATGTTTCCGAGGCTAAAAATATTATAATACAAACGTGAGAACGCTTGTTTATTCAATGGACATGGAATTCAATGTGAAGATAAATTAGAGTCAAAATGAATGATTGCGTTTCGATTATGGAATTTGTGGATCTGAATTTTCTAAATCAAAAATCATATTTGAATTGATTAACATATTTGAAACATATATTCATAAGATTCTGCAATCGTTATCTAGAATCTATAGAATGTATAATAAAAGAATAATAAAGATGGTGGCTATTGACATTACTTAGGAATGCTTACAGCGAATCGAAATACATCGTTTTTAAACATGGATATCGTATATTTCGATAAACTTCGACACTCGCCTATATTTAAGCTCGCACATTAGCAGGTTCGCATTCTTGATGACATCGTCGAAGCGAACATTTCGTTAAAAAATATTGAAGAATTGATTAAAAGACTTTATTATTTATTTATTTTTTTTTCCATTCACGGATATTCTGTTCCGTGTTTGTTTATATGTATATTCGATCTTTGTATAGAAAATTTAAAGAATAAACAAATAAAACACAATGTCTTGGTTAATGTTAGAGACTGTTGGTCTAATCGCCACTATATTTTTCCTATTGTATTATTATTCTATGTCAAGAATGGATTATTGGCGAAAACGTGGCGTCAAAGGTCCAAAGCCTCTTCCGTTTCTCGGTAATTTCAAAGATGTGCTCCTGGCAAAAGAATCGACCATGGATTGTTTCGAAAGGGCATACAAGAAATTCAAGGATGAGCCAGTGATTGGAATATATGGAGGTCATGAACCGTTGTTAATTTTAAGAGATTTGGATTTAATAAAAGACGTTCTTATTAAAGATTTCAACAAGTTCGCCCAAAGAACTCATGGTGCTATACGAGAAGTACGTATAAAACATCGTGTTTCAATTAAAATATCTGTAATTTGTAATTAATGAGTAAAATGCACAGAAATAAATAGATAAACAAGAACGAAATTTTATGTGTGATTTCAATTAGGATGAGTTATGAAGTGAATTTTTTTAAAGATTCTAAAATAAATGAATACAATAAGTAGTAATAGTTTTACTTATATTGAATGTTCGATAAATGGTTAAAAAAATTTTAAGAGATAAAGATGAAATTAAGATGAAAGTACAGAATGATGAAACTATATTTGGAATGTATTATATTTCATGATTTTTTTTAAAAATAAGTTTAATTATTATCTTCTTAGCTATTAATCTCTATGTAATTATTGGAATTTTTTTTTTTATTTTAACTAAGATCTGTTCATTAGTTACGACATTATTTAAATCTTAGTTATTACATAATGTAGTATAAATGAAAACATTGCGTAAAAATATTTTCTATTTTTATAATAATTTTTTTTTTATTTATTTTATCAATTTATATCTTATATATGATATATTTCATCATATATATATATATATATTTATAAAATACATATAATAAATATTTCTATTATTATATTTTCCTTTTCAATTATTATATTTAATTGTAATACTATTTTTATAAACATATTTCCTCCAAAAAGTTATAAAAGAAATTTATCATTTAAAAATTATTATAATTTATATTTTGATTCCATGTGAAATTTTCTTCAGTCTTCATCGTATCAAAGATAGATGATTACAAATGAAATTTTTATAATTTTCCAGGTTGAACCATTATCCGAACAACTTTTTCGACTGGATGCAGAAAGATGGAGACCTTTAAGACTCAAACTTTCATCTTTCTTTTCGTCAGGAAAATTGAAGGAAATGTTCCACTTATTCGTAGAATGTTCCAATAATTTTGAGAAGTATTTGGAAAAAATGGTAGAGAAAGGAGAACCGGTCGAGTGTCGTGACGCTGCAGCAAAATTTACCACTGACGTGATCGGTGCTTGTGCCTTCAGTATTCATACGAATGCACTTACAGATGAGAATAGCCAATTTCGCAAGATGGGTAAACAAGCTCTCGCTACAAACCTCCAACAATTTCTCAACGATAGATTGAGGGAATATCCCTTCCTATTTAGAATCTTTGGACGGTTCTTCGTTGATCACGAGGTCACTAATTTCTTCGTAAATGCCATAAAAGATGCCATGGATTATAGAATCCAGAACAATGTGTATTTACGAGATGTCATTGATATTCTGGCAGATGTTAGGGAAAATCCAACGAATTGCAGTCTTAAAGGTAAAATCACTTTTTTTTTTCTAATAAAACGTAATAAAACTTTGCGATTTCTTTGTTTTAATTAAATCTATGAATCTTATTAAATCAGAAAAATAATACATACAGAGTATGTATATATTATCAATTAATTAATTTTTTTTTTGATAATAACAAAAATAAATATGAAATTCTAATGGATTTTGAGCATGTTACAGAATATATAATGTTGTTTATATTCGTAGAAGCGGACAATTTATTCCTGACATCACAGGCTGTTCTTTTCTTCCTTGCTGGCTTCGAAAATTCTTCATTAACGATCAGCAATGCTTTGTACGAGCTGGCATGGAAGCCAGAGATTCAAGAGAAAGCTCGCACGGAAATAGTGAATGTTTTACAAAAATATGACGGAAAAATCACGTACGATGGTTTGGAAGAAATGAAATATTTGGAAGCGTGTATTTTTGGTATAATTATTCTCAATATTTACTAAAACATTATTCCATCATTAATTAAATATATAATTATAAATATATTATTTGATTATTAATTAATCTTTAAAGCATAAATTTTATTCATGCATGTACACTTTTGCAAATAACTTTATATTCATAATAATTATTAAGATTCATTGACATATTGATGTCTTTCCAATATATTCGCTATAATACCCATAATAAAATAATTTTATTGATTTGCAATCGAATATATTTCACATGTGTGAATATTGTTTTTTTTTTTTTTAGAAACATTGAGAATGTATCCAGTACTGCAATGGTTGTCAAGAGAAGCGATGGAAACTTACACGTTTACAGGAACAAAAGTTACCATTCCAAAGGGCCAACAAGTCTTCTTGCCTGTCTATGCGATACAAAGAGACCCGGATATTTATCCAAATCCTGATAACTTTGATCCTGAAAGATTCACGGATGACAAAATTAAAACTAGACACTCAATGACCCTTTTACCATTTGGAGATGGCCCAAGACATTGTAGTGGTAAAACATGCTCTTCTATAAAAATACTTATTTTTAATGAATATATAAAAAATATCGAAATATAAAACATAGACAAATAATTTTTTTTTATGAAAATGTAAAATCTTTCTTTCAGGAATAAGATTGGCAAAGAAGCAATTAAAGGTAGGATTAGCCACAGTTTTATCAAAATTCAAAGTTGAAGTATGCGAGAAAACTCATAAAATATATCAAAAAGACAAGAAACCACTATTTCTTCTTCAACCTGTTGACGGTATACATCTGAAAATATCAAAAGTTTCAGTATAAGAACAAGAAAAAAAATAAGATAAGTATAATATCTTCCTTTTTTCTTTTTATCCTGTATCATTTATGATTATTTACTACACGATTATTGCTCAAAAATTGATTGAATAAAACATCAATCTCACAGCTATATGTTGCTGTTCAAAATGGTACATAAAATACAAAAGTGTGCATGAATATTGATTCGTGATAAATAATGATAAATAAAAAAAAAATTGAATCAAAAAATAAATTCTTTTATATTTATTATCGATGCTAGAAAGAAATTATAATGCTAGATGATAATGTTATGAAAATAACGCTAAATTAATATAAATAATAAATTAATAAATAAAATTGTTTTATATATATCGTATGTACAATTCTATCTCTAGTCTAATAATATTTTAAAAAATATGCAAAATGAAATATTTCATTTTCATCAAATAAAATATTGATCATATTGCTTTCTCGTAAATATTCAACTTTTTATTGTTTCGTTTCAAATCCAATATTCAATGAAAAAGTCACTGTAAACAAAGTTGCTGTTATAAGTGGACATAATGATTTTTCTTTATATCCCTTTTGATATAGTGACCGTATTTAATCCGTTCCATAAAAATTAATATCTTTCGAACATTGTAACTGTTTTATTTATCGTCGCAGTTACATCGACCAATATACCAGGAGGATAGATTATTCCGAGTGAATCCGTTCTAAAACCGTTATAGTTTTTCAAGAATAAAAATCGTTAAACGAAAAAACTCAACGATAAATCGATCCAAGAAATCCATCGTGATTCCAATATTTACCTCGAGTCTGGATCTCCTCGATCCCTAGAGTTCGATTCAAGAACTGGGATTTCGTGTCAGCAAATCCGATATCCCATCTAACTGCTTTCTTGGTTCAAGAACAGCTTTGATAAACGCCATGAAAAATCTATTATTGTATTCTTGGATCCTTGAAATATTGAAATAGTTTCCCTTCACTGAATCGTACAAACGTATACTTTATCATCGTACATTTCAATCATAAGTAACTTTTGAGTGTAGTGCTGTATTTTGATTTGTCGTATATGAAAATGAAATATGGAATTTTATAATATTATAATTATAATAGTATACGATCAAGCTTTGATAACTCGAATCACAAGAACGAAAATTCGTCTTATCGAAGTTTTTGAATATGGAAACATAAAATTTAACAAACATAGAAATTTTTCACAAGTATTAATATTTTTCCAATTATAAAGGAGTAATTCGTAAGTCGTCTTTTACCTAGTGATAGTGACATGAATAATCACAGTGACTGAGATAAAAAGGAAATGACATTCGAGGCCAAGGAGTTGAAACAAGCATCTCTCGTCACACCGTTTTTCTCTTTCTTAAAGCTTTCTTTAAAAAATTCATTTGTTTCAGCTATTTTTATCATTATTCTCTCGAAATGTGACATAAAATGCTTTTTTTGTTTAAATATTGTATTTCGTCTCTTCATCGTTTCCTATCTTCCCTCTCTTATTTGTATTTTTTCCGTATGAAGAGCGGAAGAAAGCGAATATTTTCAATTTTAAAAGATGAAATGCTACTTGTACAAGTATATAAGTATGAACATTTTCAATAAATAATTTCTTAATCACTGAAGTTCTAATCAAAATAGTTTCTACAACAATTATAAATTGCGGAATGTAAAAGTTTTTTAAAATCTTTAAAAAATTAAATTCTTCCACTTTTTAGCCATCTGTTGATAATTTTCTAATATCGATGTGAAAACGAATTATGAAAAATCTAGCATCTGTTGTATTATCACAATGAGATTTCTTAAAATTCTCAGTACCCCGTATCGCTTAGCCAGTGTGTATTTTGAACTTAACCCCTTTCTTAAGATACGTCCTAGAAAACTTATTGCGGAAGCAATAAACTTCCTTCTCGAGCAGCCCATTGTCGACTTTTCTGGGCTTTTAGCAATCTCGTCGTAATTATGATGAGCGTGCCACCTCCTGTCTCATTCAATGAGATTCTTTGTACCCACCTCGACAGATTATAATCGAGAGATAAGGAATTCTTTTTTAAATCGATGTCTTCGAGTTTAAAATTTCTAAAGTGATATGCGTTATTGTCTTAGTAACAAGTAAGAAAATCATTTACGAATTGAAATCTTTCGAATCGAGATATATTTTAATAAGTTGCAATTTGCTGTCATCTTGATCAGAATTTTAAAAAGATATGTAAATCAGATCAAATATACATATCATACTGTAACAAATACCAATTCTTGTTAAAAATTCCTCTTAGTAACATAATATGAAATGATTTCTAGCATATATTTTTACAATGATAGGTATAAATACGTGATTCTATAATCAAACTTGAAGAATTTGTTTGTATCTCGTGTTTGTATGTCGTTCTTTCTATTTTTAGGGTGGCGATAAAAAAAAAAGGATGAAAACGAAAAGATGGGGAGGGAAAAAAATGTTATTCCCTTTATCCACGGGTTCACGTCCGTGAAAAAAAAGGCGAGAAAGCATCAACTCGCGATACATATTTATGAAAATGTTCATTCGAAAGTTCGACATTCAAATGGGACGGTTTTCAATTGCAGGCGGGAAAGTTTTTTCTCGGGTGGATGGAAAAAGCTGGCCACTGTTTGGATAACGACTGGCTCGACTTTTCCCTTCAGAAATATTGCAACATTTCAGGACATACGAATCCATTTTTGCCCTTTCTACCCCGTTTTAATAGGTTTCCAGGCTTGTGTTTGCGTTTCAAAGGGCGATGAAAGTTTGGTAAAAATCGGCTGAGCGTGGTGGCCCGCTGTTAAGTTCCTTGCAATGCCGATGGAGGGTGGTAGAGTAGCCATTTCCGGGAAACTGATACACAGTTTGTAAAAGAAAGGGTACGAAAGTCAAATATTTCCTATATTTAGTTTTAGTGTACCTATAAATTTTAGATTAATGATTACTAATTTGATGAGATTAAATTGCTTATTGTATAGTTATTGATATTTATTTGCAATTTGATAATTTTATTTTTCATTTTCATAATGAAAGAAAAATGGAATGGAATGGAAGAAAGAAAATTATTAATATTTCTTACATATTAAGCTATTTTTTCACGCTTTTAAACATTTTAAAGATATATTTTATTTCGACGATACAGTTCTATTCAAAATTATTTACGAATGTATGCAGAGAATATTGATTGCCCGGGCTAAATGATAGATATAGAGTTAAAGGGATTGAAAACTTTATATATTATATTTGAAATGAAAATTTTGATAACTTTGACGAAAGTTTACTTGTATTTTGTTAATTCGTAGCAAGTTATTGATTTTCAATTTTTCACTCGTTATGCTTTGTTTATATTCCTACATTGATTTATGTATATTCATATTTTTCACAAAATATTCAAAATGCTCGATATTTAGTTACACCTTCTTCATGTTACAATTGATTTACCGTTGTACGGTTTGTTTTACGTGTTGTTTTCATATGTATTACAATAATAAATTTAAAAATAATAAGTCAACTAAGAGTGACATACGAATATGTAAATTATTGCATATTATACGATATTCGTTAAAGTATTACGTTACGTGGAAAGTAGTTCACATAATAAAGCATGTTATCGAAGGATTTCAATAAATTTTTAATATTCAATGTTATCAAATGTTTCACGATGTATAAATTATCTCATTGTATAATGAGAATTATAAATATAAAAAATTTTCGAAACGATATTTCTGAAATATTAATCTTGATTTTTAGATAAATTTTAATGAACAGGTATGATAAAAATTAAAAATTTTTTTCAAATTTAGTTTGAATTTTCTCTCATTTTTCTATGACAAGCAAGATCAACGTTTCCTCTCTCTATTTACGTCGGTTCATCAACCTGATCATAACATGCACACGCGGTGCGCAGTGTCCAAATAATCCGTAATCGATTTTAAACGTTTCCCCCTTAATCCGGTGGATAATGAATGAATAGTAAATACTGCATTCGAGTTTCTCACACCATTTTCTAACATTTGTCTGTTCACTGGAGGTTGAACAAGGGGAATAGCCCTGTAGTGATCACAGCGCGGCAAGAGGGGGTATGAAAAGTGGTCGGAGAATGCTTTAAGCTGGCGCCGAAGGGTGGCGAAATCGCACGAATCGTACCGAGCCGAACCGAAAGCTCGGTTGCCCCTGTCAGTAGGCCTGCCGCAACGCAGCAGTTAGCGCGCCTTCCACTACGCGCGGAGATTACGCGACTTTTTCTCGGAATTCTGTCGTTATTTATCATACTCGTACCTATATTTTGCTACTAATATTATCTTTATTACTTTTATTATCGCTCGTGAGCAAAATAATCAGAGAAATAAATCGGCCCTTAAAAACTCGCGATCCATCATTCTCGTGCTTGCATTCGGCATTTTGTGTACGCATTTAATCGCCGCAAAGATCGCTGTTATAATTCAAAGTGGTCCCAGTGAATTCGACGAAAAACTAGGGCTCGAACAAAGGAGATATAATTAGAATATAATCGGTACGCTGGTTTACAAAAAAAAAACGATTGTTCTCGTTCTCAGTGAGGCGCTCCGAAGAGGATGAGTGAAAAATCCATCGATTTCGAGTGAGCAAGTACTTATCTCTAATCGGTGCACGAGTTACCAGTTTTACCTGTAACAATATCGTATAATAATCTCGTCGAGGATGAAATCGAGATTGTAACCATTCACTCGAAACGATTCACCTTCTTCTATTCAGTGATCCTCGTCGTGATCGTGGCAAGCATCGAGAAGCTGTTAGAATCGGGAATAGGATGACTCCCGTACAACACGGTGCACGATGAAACGGCTCTGACGACAACCTCTCCGTGCAACCTCCGACGCGATAACATCCGATGGACCCTAATGACACCGGCCCGGTGTTATCGTCAGTATCGTCGGGGCCGTCTATTTCCATCGCGTCGAACTCCTCGCCCTACGCGGCAAACTTTCTTTGAAAAGGACCCAGGGTTACGTCGTTATTGGCGAACGATGACGGCATGAGCCGGTGTGATTATGTGTAACCGCGTATGAGGCGGTAGAGAGTTAATGAACCGTGGACGGTGTGTGTGTGTGTGTGTGTGTACGATTAGCCGAAGGAAGCTCCATTAATAACCGACCAACGGGGCTCGTGCTTGCAACGCACGCATCATGTGGGGGGTGATGATCGGGCAACTTTGAAAAAAGACGAGCACCCTTGCGGGCGCCGCATTCTCGTTCGGACGTTTGGTGAATGAACCTCCCTTCCCCTCCGCATTCGATGCATCCGCTCGATGTGCATCGTGTAGGGCGCGCATGTGTACGTGCATGTGTACGTGTGTGTGCGCGCGTGTACGTGACTGTTCGCGGTCACGGTAACTGAAACACGGTGGTTGATCGACAATTTCTCAATTTATACGAAGGGCTTGGACATCTCGTCGATTACTTCGAACGTGAACGAATAAAAATCCAACTTGTTCATAACTCATTGGATATATTTATCTATATATATATTCGTGTAAGTTGGTGAAAGAAGTAGTAGAGAATCGCGGTGTGAAGTTAGAGAGGAGAGACGAGTGTAGTGTGAAGTTCGCGCGACTCGTCGTCGTGGCGCACGACGGATAGCCAAGTTGAAATCCCAGAAGACGGAAGAGAGAGAGACTCGGTTCGAGAGAAGTGAAGTTCCAACCCATCGAGAGAACTAGATTCATTGAAACTTATCAGCTATCTCGGCCAACTTGCTATCCTGGAGTTGAGGAGGAGGATATTCGAGGGGGAGCAGGGGATTTGCCAGGACTCGGTCGTTCGGTTGCGCACGGTCCCAGGATGAGGGGGATGCTTTTGCTGATGAGCATGATGATGGCTTGGTTTGTCGCGGCGGAAGTTTTCCTCGGCGACGTCGACGAGCCGAGTAAGTGATTGAAACTTCTGATTTCCAACCGAGCTCGCTCGGGGGGGAACGTTCAATTAAGACGCAAGAATAATTCTATTCGTAGTATCGTTTCGGGGTATTTATTTATTTTCGTGAGGGGATAATCATCGCGTTTGCGTTACACTTTCGTAAGTGAATAGGAAATCGAATTTATTTGGTTGACTTTAGGTTTTTTGGTTTTTATGCTAGTAATAGTAGAATGTAAGTTTTCAAAATTGCTTTTTCGTTTATTTTTATTTGAATGTGTGTAGCGATGTTTAAACGTATAATATTTTTTGTACGTATAGATATTGAATACCATTGTCTTTGAACAATTGATGTGACAATTTGGTATTGTACTTTAAAATTTTCTTTTACGTTGCGTTTCGTTGTAGTGTGATAATTTTATGTATCAAATAATTTTATTAGAAATACACTACAATTGATACATATCTATATTATTATATATATTTAAATTAACGTGTAAATTAACATTTCTAACACGTGAAATATAAAACTTTCATTATATGGAATATTTTAAAATACAAATATTAATAAAGAAAAAATAATTATACTTATTAAATATTCTTCTTCTAAAAGAAATATATTTAATAACAAAAAAATTAATTTGTAATTTAAATTATTTATTACATAATTTTCATTATAAAACTATATATTATGGAAAATATTAACATCGTCATTCATTTTGCTTCTTGAAAAGCGAATGAATAAATTACTCATTTTCCTTTTATAGACGAGTTCTATTATCCTATTATTCTATCGAACCTATTCATTTCCTCTTTTGAGTTTTAAAATTTTATCACTAACCGATATGAATAAATGAAATAGTATAGGATATAATATCATCTCGCTTTAAAATCTTCTATTATTCCTAAGAAAAAGTGAGAATATTAATTAAAAGATATATTGTGGGAAAGATATATTTTTTGTATACTATATCTACATTCTATGAAAGTAGTATGTCATAAGAAAGATTAAACATCAATTTTCTTTTTTCGAATTAGTTACTGAAATTTTTCTTATCATAATCATAATCATTTGTTCAACTTTTATTACCTTTAACGTTATACTTCTTGGATTATTATTGATCCAATAGAATCGTTAATAAATTTCTCAAGTTTGATGATTATGAATATATAAAGGAATAGTTTAATACATTAGAAGTTTTTACTTATAAAAATATAAAACTTTCATTATATGGAATATTTTAAAATACAAATATTAATAAAGAAAAAATAATTATACTTATTAAATATTCTTCTTCTAAAAGAAATATATTTAATAACAAAAAAATTAATTTGTAATTTAAATTATTTATTACATAATTTTCATTATAAAACTATATATTATGGAAAATATTAACATCGTCATTCATTTTGCTTCTTGAAAAGCGAATGAATAAATTACTCATTTTCCTTTTATAGACGAGTTCTATTATCCTATTATTCTATCGAACCTATTCATTTCCTATAAATTCATTTCCTATAAATTTAAAGACTCCTTGTTGACATCTTTTCTAAACAACTCTTGATTCGTTTCATCTCGCATTCTAAAAACATTCGAAGAATCCATTTTCACTTTATAATTCACAAACCATTTCCACAACAATCATCGTGAAGACGATAATAGAATCGACGATTTGGTATTAAAATTCGTGGAACGTCGAATCGCGGTTTACCTCGTAGATAATCGCGTCGAGGGTTGTCAACCCCCTTTCGTTGGATTGATCGCGACGAATATAACGTAATCCGTCAAAACGTAACCCGAACCGAGCGCGATCGTTGCAATTACGGTTCCAATTAATGGGTAAAGACAACTGGCCGCTGGTGTCAGTCATTCGTAATGACGCTGTCGGCGGTCTCATAATCGTTGTGAAGCATTTACGAACCTCGTGGTGATCGAGGTGAGCGTGCACTGGCGGTGGGGTAGCGTTGAAAGGAAGGAAAAAAAGAGGGAAGGCGCGTTAATTTCAATGTGGGGATTGGACGATTGATGCGATATGTGCACGTGGACAGTGTGGAGAATTTGGCTGTCAATAGTTGTTTTGCGGCGGGCACAGCCTCGGTTTCCGTGCTCTACGACATTGGACGGACGACACCGCAACCCGTTTATTTAATCGATGCATTATGCAAATTGACATAACGGCTCCACTTCGGATGCAGTAATCGACCACCGTCTCTCGACTGATTCACAATGGGACAATGTGTACGTTGAATAATTGGCAGTAACGTGCTGCGGCTTCGAAATCAAAGCTACTGAACTTCCTGTCCGTACCTCGAGGGTTCAGAACGCGATGGACAGAATAGGTTCTGTTGGGTACAGATACTGACTTTTCCCGATGCCACGGAACTTGGATTGTTTGGAATGTTCGTTTCTCGAGGATTAGGTTGGGGATGGTTTGGTTATATAATTGGTAGATTGCGGATGCTCTCGGCAAACTCCGTATTCCTTTTCAACAGGAAGAAAGGAAAATGGAGCTTTAACTTGGAGCTAAATCCGTTTACCTATTTGTTTCTATACAATGCGGATTTTCATGCAAATTTATATTTTCCATATTATATAGTAACACGCGATAAAAGTCGTTTGATCAATCTATAATTAAATCCAAATTAAAAATAATTCAATTCGTTTTAATCGAAAGAATTAACGCGGAAAGTTTTAATCAATTTATAATCTCCAATACATAAACATATTTATGTATTTAATAAGATCTTTGTAAACAATATTATTCCAGAAATAAACGTATTTATCGCTTAATTTAACTTAAACCTCGATTAATCTGTATTAAAATTAACTTAAACTTTAAACCGCTATAACTTCTAAGATAGTGATTTTTAATCAACGAATCGAGGATCGTTAAAAGCGCTCAACTTTCTCCTATAAAATGGTTTTTAATTTATCTTGATACGACTTCTGGTTCCCGAGATATCGTCGTGTAAAGAGAAGGGTAATTTTTAATCATTTATTATCCTCATTCTTGTCACTTACTCAGATCTCTCGCTCGCACCTCCTCTCACTGATCTATCCCACACTCTAGACAAGTGAGAGACGCAATTCTTAGAATTAGCACACTATTTCTAGAAGAACATAGTACGCACTTCCAAGAAAAAATGTAGATCACGACTCATTCATAGTCTTCGCGCCGTCTTAAAAATTACAGCAACTTTGACACTTTATATCTCGGCAACCGTTTGAAATATCGGGATAAAACGAAAAGCAATTTCGATAGCATAGCTTTCTCTGTTTCTTGAGTAGATTTTGATGACAAAATTCGTAGTATCTTCTCATGTTTTTTATATGAAAAAACGAAGTTTCATTTGTATCTTTGAATGCAATGGTCTACGTTGTAATATAAAGTATATAGAAATATAATTTAATACATGTTTTACGTATTATGGTGTATTTTTTGTATATTGAATATGTTTTTACAAAATTTTCGATAAATTCATAACATTTGAGTCTAATAATTAAAAATATATCGAGGTTATTCTATTTATATTCGCAATCGATTTTATAAATTTTAAATAAAAAATATTTTTAGGCTAGAAAGAAAGTCTTTATATTTTCTACATATTTTTATATTGATTCTCTTATGTACGTCATCTAGCTGAAATGGAATTCTTCAATATGTCAAAGTTAACGTGAAAATCTTGGCAGAGTCAAAAATAGATAAAACTATTTTAATCATTAAGAGAAGTAATTCGAGACTCAACATTCATTAACTTGAAGTTCTCAATATTATCTCATTGATTAAAATTTTATTTCTGGGAAGTTAGTTCTTAAAAATTTCGAATTATTAAGAAGAAGAAAAATTAAATTTAATTATGAATTGTACTTCCTGCGAATTAATGCTCAATGATAATAAGAAAGGAAAATATGTATGAAAATTTCATTAGCTTTCATCACAAATTAATCGATACGTAACAAGATTTAATTAATTCAGATAATGAAGGTAACGAGTAAAATTTATAAGCATTGTACGTGTGTTAAAGGATATTCGTCATCACAGGTAATTATTAAAGGAAGTTAAATATACAAACAGCAATTAAATTGCACATATGATAGACATAATAATTAGTATATTATGTGTTAGAGGTTTGAAATACGCCTCTTTATAGATGCTTCAACATAAATTGTACGAAAATTGACACATCAGATAATGAATAATTTCTCGATAGTTGAATTCATATTATCTGTATAACTTTGTTTTGTGCAAATATAACTGTATTATTAATAGAAATCAAATATTGTTTCTTTGCTTGTTTTCTGTGCATATTCTTTTGCAACTAAACATACTTTGTTAGAAAAATAATTATTATATGCACATTTTGATTTAGTTTTTATATGCAGTGTAAATCATCTTGATCATTTCAATTATCTTCGTTATTTGTAAACTAATCAAAATTTTATTACAAGAATCGTTTATTCTGTTTTTTTTTATTAAATGAAAATATTATTTTTATTCGAGTCGAAGATTAAAAGATGGAAATTTGCTTTTACTTACTCTGTTGAAAAATTTAAAAATTATGATAATGTGATTGTTAGATATAGATATTTTCTTTCCATCTGTTCATTCTGCAATAATATTTTTTTTTCATCAGTCTACTATACTCGTATTTTGAATCAATAAAATTATGCCAATATTCACTTCTTCTACAATTTTAAGGGAAATTCTTCTACCAGTAGATTGAATCGATAAGTAGAATATTTTTTCGAGCCCTTTTTATACACGGAATCATTTATCGTAAAGACAGATTATGGTACTGCATATAACATGACAACATGATCGAAGACCTATCCTTCCTCTTTACACAAAGTGTATGCAACAACTTAAGGAACGAGTACTTAGCATTCCTGTCTGCCTTTCACGTTTGAAATTGCAATAAACTCACGATAGTACAGTGCTTGGCAAATAACGAAAAATCATGCAGAAATTCGCTGTTTCGATCTCTGGCAGCTAGACTTGAATATATTTTACG